AGCTGAATTGAACTTTGGGCTCGCGTTATAAATGGCGAAAAGTGATGTTATCACTGGCGTGATTTACGTGTGACTTACGTAGCTAATTGTTGCTTTCTTCTATGACGTCGGCATGGATTTCTAATCGTGAGTAAACCGCTCCCGGAAGTATGTTTAACCACCTAGGGAGAACGGGAAGTGATTTCCGTTTTGCCTCTCCCCACCGGTTGCGAGCAATCATTGGCTTCTGTCATGTTAAGAACGATGTCCAATATTCCTAGATGTATCGCTAGTCGAATTAAGCTTATTTTCCTGATGACATGAAGATTTTCTGCTTTTACCAGGAGAGCCGTGCGATCGAGTTGAGGCTGGCCACGTTGGCGGGGTATCGCAAAATGCCCCTCACTTCTATTTTCACATAGTCCCACCTTCGTCAGAATCCGAGCCCGCCCTGCTAAATCAGGGGGAGAAGACATTCCGACAACGTTGCCTTGAGCCTCATACTCTGTCTGCGTACTTACATGAACCACTCAAATGCGGCATATCTGTTCGTTCATGAGGAATACGTCCATATGTGGCTGTGAACTTTCACAGTCTCCGGATTGGCAAACTCCAGCGCCGCAAAAGTCTTCATATCTGCCGCAGCGGCCATAAATGCTGCAGCAAGTTCCCTGCTTGCCAGCACACTTGCGATTCCCGTTGGCATATCCGCAGGTCCCATCGGTGGTGTACACCTTGTGGCCCCAGCAAATACCCTCCCAGCAAGTGCCAGGAGCACAGTCTATGCTGAAGCACGGTGAACAGGGTCAGCGTCTGCGAGTTCCGGTGATAGACAGCCATCAATATCAGCGAATGATCGGGACTTTATCACTTACTCTCTCTGGCCACATCGCCAAGTCTCAGAGTTGCAGCATTGCCCATTAGTCCCGACACAGGTCACGCCTGGGCGCGACGGACCACAGATGCCATCCCACGCCCTTTTCGGTTCAACAACTAAAGCAGGTAGAAAGATAAGTTTGATTACAGTCAAAACTCGTGCATTGGGGTCACGTACATCCACGAGTGCAGTATGAGGCGCAAGGAAGTATGTTCCCGCAGTCTCGGTCCAGAGAAGGGTTGAGGAGGAAGAACTTGTCTAGTGTAATCCCGTAACGAGTTGCGAGCTCTTGGCAGGTCTCCGGACCCACGTTCTCATTGGTGTCGCTAGTATAGCGACAGTTGATCTCTCCAGGCTTTGTATCGGCACCTCTGATCCCATGAATGGTTGTGTGAGTTGTGCATGCGCGTGGTCGTGAGATCGTGGCCGCGGGTCGGCCGGGGGTTGTGGAATCTTCCCAAGTCACCGGCTTGCATTTTCCAGTGCTAGCGAGGCCAGATGATAGCGGAGTGATGCAGTCCACCGTCGTGGCAAAGAGAAGGATCGCAAGACTTGCAATCCCGCCGTTTTCGAAAACACTACCAGGCTTAGGATACATTACGACTCCGGTTCGGGGTGAGAGTTGATGCAGGGAAAATGAAAGCAAGCATCCGTGTGCTTGGCGAGCGTTTCAGTGATACTTGTGCGCTTATGCCCGAGGAGATTTTGAAAAACGCAAACTCCGCCAAGTGGCCAGATCGCGAGAGCACAAGACTGTCCAAAAGAACTAAAGAAAGTGAAGTAGTCTAGGGAACTTTGTTAGTCGCCATGGCAACATTAGGCAGCAGCCTCCCGCTAAAAGTAATACGATGGTGGCTGATACGGGAAAGCAGCGAGCATCAATAAAAGCTCTGTCGCATGCTAACTCCAGTCTCTATCTCAGTAGTCCATGGGCGATAACAAGCTGAGATTGAATTGGTCTGTGACGGCTCGCTTTTCGGTCGTGCTTGTCGCCATGTCGTCGATACCCTCGGCGCCTCGCAAGAGCCGCCTCCTAATTGGGAATGAGCCCTTGAGCATGTTTCACGCATCACTTTAGAGGGTGAACAAACGATTTTGTTTCTCGATGACCGTGTAATTATTTGCAGTGGTATTTGTATTCTTCACGAGTCATTTAGACTGGAGAGCAATGGCGGGGCCGCTCCATATTAGCTGCCGAAACCCGACACCGAAAACGAAGGGGAATCGCTCGCATCATTCAAGATACGCGAATTCGAAATCCTGGTCAACTCAACCCCATCGATTTCTGCCAGAACGGAGAGAATTGAATCTCTTGCCGGACGAGGATGGCTGAGTCAGAACTGCTACATGAAGTAAAAATCGACGTGAAATCGTTGCTTAATGCGGCGTAGATAGCTCGCAGTCAGAGGAGCAGCTGGAACCTGCCGTGATGGGCTTCAGTTAAGCTAGACACCTGCCGACATCACCTGGAACGTATTAGACAATCGAAACACCTGTCGAAAAAAATACTAAGTAGTAATTTGCGCACCCGAATTTGGTAGGCAAATCGAAACCAACGCAGCACTTGTCCAAAAATGAGAATAACTCGCCGGAACGGCACCTCAGTTCACCATGACAAGGGGCAATGGAACACCTGCTAGGGTCAATGGCTGGCGGACACTGACGCCAAGTAAAAACACTATAAATATACGCTGGTAGATTTCGGTCTCTTCCGGTGCAGTACAACTGCCACGGGGATCCAGCATTGGTTACATCAGAAATCAACAATTGGCGGAGTTGACATGTGTACTAATGAAAAATCATCTTTAGCTCGGCTGGAGTGTAAAACGAACCACTCCGTCGAATGAAATGACACTTGTCGCGGTGAAAGCTTGATTATAGTACACTATATCCGGTGAATCCGGAAATATCTCCAACCCAGCAATGATGGATTGGCATGGCTATCAGCGTTGGCCTGGCTAGATTCTTTCCATAAGACATGACTAGTACCCCTGTGATGTCAAAGGTCTTCCAAACGTAGTGAAAATTCCTCGCATGCATTCAGCAAGTAGGTAGCATACCACTGTGTTTTATCATGTTCCAGTGCCATCCTTTACTTCTCATCTGCAAAGAAGGACTCAAAATAGGATCGTTCAATCATGGTGACCGATTTCTATCATCAAGCACCATTCTGACATTCAGAAAGTATCCAAGTTGACTCCATGCCCCTGACGGAAGGGTGATCGTCATTGAGCCTCGGTCTTGCCGCTTTACCTAAATGACGACGGGTCTTACCTCGAACTTAGTTCTGCCTTTTCATATCTGTCAATTTTGAGAAGTGTCCTATGGAGCGGTGTCACATGGAGTGAGACTGGCGGTTTTCTTCAGTGATTTATTAGACATGAGAGAATATAAGTCTTCGTTGTATCTCGTTATATCTCATGGAAGATATTTTATCAGACTAAGCGCCTCTCAATGTGCCTCAACCACTTGCCTTTGACTTTTGCATCACCAACCTGAATCTTTAGACTCCTGCCTAGGCAACTGGTATCTTTCAATCATGTTGCTCGGTTACTTCTTTTTTACCTTACTATCTATCGTTCTTAACGTCACCAGCGTCTATGCCACTCCCGCCCACAATGGAGACATAGCGAAAGACGTATCCTTACACAAGCGAGAGGCCGAAAAGCTGCAAGCAAGGCTGGTATGCTATCACAAACAATCTTATCACGTAGCTATCGTGATCGACCGCGACGAATATGACGTATCCTATCGCTATCACGCGACCCAAAAGGGCCAAACCCGAACTTTCAAGCTCGACCGCGATCGCCGTGAGTCAGGCAGCTACGTCGATTCTCTGATTCCGAAACTTGTCGCCAATATTCCCATCAACGGGTACGTCGACACCTTCGACGAAGTCGATGAGCTTATCAATGACACGGATCTCCTCCCCTCAAACGGATACGACTGCTGGCAATACCTCAAGAATGCGCTGAATGCAATGCGCCAGAGCGGCTGGCTGACGCAGTCCGAGATGGACTCTGCCTATGACGAACTTCTGCAGAAGGCTCAGAATAATGGTATGACCTTGACTTGTCAGGCTCTTTGAGCTGGGGGATGGCGACCATTCGAATTTGCTCTCATCAATATGTGCGAAAACTTGGGCTATAAGTTACCTTCGGATTACTCGGTTTAGAAGATGTACTAGAATACATTCTATCTGTATATGAAAAGAACTCAGTAGAGTATCAACAACTTGAAGAGAAGGGGTTGGTAGCACACCGTATCAAGATCCGGAATGTGACACTTTTGGAAGTTCGTGGGATGCAACAAAATCCATCAAGCGTTGATAACATTTACCAATCATTCTGAAATATGGATTTTGAGTACCACGGCATCATGTCTTGACCTGGCCACTTGGATACATATCCTGTCATTTTCTCAAGTTAAACATAATGAGAAACCGGGACACCCCCCCCCCCCCCAAAACAAAAAAAAAAAAGAGGAGAAGAAAATTCTAAGTGTTAAATCATCTATTGTATTTTGAACTCAATGTGATAGTGATAGTCACAAGCAAGATTTGACACAGGAGTGGTATTAGTAATAGGAAGTATTCCCAGGAGTTGTCAAAAGGCTTAAATCGGTTGGTCAGATTGCGTTCCTAGGTCCATATTATATGATCGCTTTCCAGAGGGAGGTAGATTTTCTGCGATGATACGGATGAGTTATGAGACTAAGACGCCCGAATACAACATAAAAGCATCCTTCATTTCATCCGAGAAGCTGTGGGGAGGCCAACATTGCCTGGTTGTTACGTTAGGTAATGCTGTGCTGACTTGTACTTGAGCTATCATAGTTGATCGGAAAAGACTACATTACTTCACTAAACACCTGCTCAGGAAGAGCTTGCCAAAGAAATTTTGCCTGTATAGCGCGGCCGAATTAGACTATTCTAGCTTATCTCGTCTGTTCTCGGATTATCAAGTATACGTCCGCTCGGCTTCACAAGGTCATTATGCTGACCGCCTCCCAAGCTCAGATTGCATACATGATTCTTTTCAGATTTTCCTGACAGGTTTTGGGCAGCCTAGTGCTACTCTATCTTGGATATATGTAACTGTTGAAGTATTAATCAGTAGCGCCTTTCATCCTAATCCTCTTTCAATCACTGCGCATTCGTAGGCCCCTTCTCGCCGCTTGGAGGCGGAGCACCAGCTGGCTCCTTGTCCTTAGGAGGCGAATCGCTGATCGGATCCTCTTTCACACTGGGTCCAGCCTCTTGACCGAAGCACCCCTGCTGGTCTGTAAGACCGCCGTAAAAGCTTTCTCGGTATGCGGCGTCCAGGTGAGCCTGGAAGTTGGCGTCGGTGAATGGCACTTGAGTCTTTTCGTATTTGACATCTGACAAAGCTTTCTGCGCAGCCGCGGGAAGAGAGAACCAGCTGACGGCTGTGCGCTCAAACACCTTGTCTCCATCAGCACCCGTAAATGGGGAAAAGGCGTTGTCGTGAATCTGCATTTTGGGGTGTGTCGGCGTATCCACGCCGACTCCCGAGGAAGCGTACGAGATTGTGCCCGCTGGTGCAGTATCCCAGACAAGATGATCGGTCGTAAATGACACACCCACAGCCGACACGGATGAGGCGTCTTCCCCGCAGCCAAACTGGTTCAACCAGACTACAACACTGGCCCAGTAGTGTCTATGACCTTCGTTGTTGCCCTTACCCCAGCGGACCTTGGGCATGTAGTAGGAAAACATGATACCAGTACGATCCTGACTTTGTCCACCTCTGACATAGACTTGGGCAGTGCCTCCAGCATCACATCCGCTTCTGCCACCTCCAGTCGGCCTCAGACCTTCTCTAATCGCTTTGTGTTAGTCTCGTCTCGTGCCCATGGATCCTGGGGAAGGCGGCAAGTCTGTCTTACCCAAGATTGCCGGTGGCATCAACGGCGGGATACGGATCACAGCCGCCTGAAACATAGAGGAACGGATTAAATCGAAGCTCTAACTGTCCTTCAAATCCTGTCGAGGCGCTCTGGGTGAGCGGGACGATCTTATCGTGGCCCAGTGTCGGATGCCCGGCATAATCATCATTGCCTCGTGGAAGGACAGAGGACAATGCGCCATGAATGAAGAGACAGCCAAGTGATGGCTGCAACATGCTGAGCTTCATGCTGAAATCGTTTGCCAGGACTGAAGGGTTTGCAAAAGACCAAAATTGGATGAGACGAATGGCGGATGGATTAGAATGAAGGAAGCGATGGCATTAGAGGCACTGGAGCAAGTTGGCACAAACTGGCTCACGAACGAGGATACTACTGTGACTTTATTTGTTAGTGGCTGGCTCCAGACTTTCGATGTGACTTTTATCGCAGTACCTACATGTGATTTCAAAGCTCTCCCCACCTAAATTGTTGTAGCCTGCGAACTCTTCTGTGCAAGATCTGATATTAGTTCCAATACGACGTGAGCTTTCATGCGGTGATTCCGAATCCATACCACTCCGTACCTGACTCTCGTCACTTTCTGGCGGAGAATAAGATAGCTTGACACTGACCCAGACCCGGCAATCCATACGGGATCTACAAGTTCTGCCTTGGTATTCCCAAGAAATTGCACCTTCGGTCGAGCCGGCCCCGTGTCCATCCTCGGCGAGTTCTCTAGTGATATAACTTGTCAGCCTTACCTGACTACCGAGTTGTGTTTAGTTCAATTTGTGGGCACAGCCGCTAATTAGAGACGGCTGTTGAGGAATCATCTGCGATGAAGCAAAGGAATTAGACTTTTCTAGAAAAAGCTGTGACCTGTTGGTCCTCGCTGCCAAGTTCTCAATACGAGGCGCCCTGCACTTCTCGAATGACGTGTGATGATGCGACATCAGCCCAGATTCATTATGCATTCTAAGCCTAATCTAGTCTGCTTTCGAGCTACAAGATCTAGTAGCAAGATGCAACTCCATCATGAAGCTTCAGGTCAACAAGTCTTCTAAGCCGTTGTGCCTGCATGGAGGGCCGGGCCGATCGCATGCGGAAAGTACGTACCTCCCGAGTCGAGCGAAAGCTCTTGGCACGTATATTAAACTCTGAAGATGCGGGACGAACTCGGTTGTGCCCATTGGCTACAGTTTAATAACGAAATTTAAGACTGAAGTGTCAATAAATGACAAGAATATAAATATTACCCTAATTAGAGTATGGTCTAAACGTAAAAGACTATGGACACTCCGTGCGACAGTGAGGCAAGTTTCTGTTACGTGACTTTCCCCAGGATCAGAATCGTGCAAGTGTACCAAAACCATGGTCTTGGAGGCGAATTTTTCGGAGCAATGACTGCTAGGTCTCAAACGTTAACCGCAACTTCAACTTTATTATGTGGCCGACCTGAAACTAATATGAAATTGAGGGACAACTGGATAGGGTTGGGAGGTTGCGTGTATCGCGTCTCTTAACCGCCCTTAGCCTCAAGTGAAGTCACTTGAAAACCATCCGTTTCGGTTATGACCGAATCAGGCCGGCGGTGGGATGAATGAACACTATTATGATGAGTAATTTCTGTATTCTCCGGTCATTCCGTATCAATCTGGGCTACAGCCTGGACAGCCCAAAAGAGCAGCCGACTTCTGAGGAAAGGCGTCAATTATATCCACCAGAACGTGCTTTAAATCGAGACAAAACTTCTTGAAAACGAAATGGCTTGAAAAGATCGTTGTCCAGATTTTCACACTTTCCTTCTCTTGTAAATCTCGTCACTATGCGCTTCTTACTTTCGACTACCATCTTTGGCCTCCTTCTCTTCTTGAGTGGCTTTGTCCACAGCGCTGCAACGGACATTGATGCACTGTCGCTAGCAGAGCGTTCAGGTACCTCTGAAATCGTCCGTCGCGGATGGAAGTTCAAGAGCATCTTTAAAGGCAAGAGCAGCAAAGGTTCTAGCTCAGCCCAGCCAGAACAAGAAGTCGAGTCCGAATCAGACAATGAAGAGCAAACGGCTGCAGCCGATCTAAGCGACGCCGAAGATGGCCGTGTGCCTGATATCACAAAGAGAGGCTACATCTTCCAAGCCCACCGCCGTTCGGACTCTGTGAGGGTCGATGTAGGCGTCATGATTCCTTCGCCCCAGGACTGGAAGCCCGACATGTTCTGGAGCATGGATGACATGGCTGTGTATCCAAGCGAGAACGAAATCAGAGTGTTCAACGCGATCAACGAAGACGACCCCACGCCGGAGCCGCGCAAATGTCGTTTCCGGACCATCATGATGGCCACTTGGAAGGAATACTCGAACAAATACGTCTCGGAGCTCGAATATGTTAGCTTTGCCAGCATCACGAACGAAGACGCACTAGAGTCGATCAAGCAGGCATACTTGTGGATGGATAGAAGCCAGGATGCGGGCGAACCAAATGAACTCCAGATCGACAAGACTGAGGAGGGAACCGATGAGCGGAAGGCATTCAACTGGCTCGTGAACCAGAATCCGCTTGGCCGCGCTGTTCGAGGCATTCCGTCAACCTTCACCGCGATGGAGGATAAGGAAATTGACCGCGTGGATCTCTGGACCAGTAACGGAAGTAAATACATCCGCTACCGGCTTCGTTGATTCTTACTGGGCGCGGAGATATGTTATCGATAGACTTGACTCTGCTCAGGGTATGCAATCTCAGCGACTTCTTTCTAAATTATTCATTGGACGACCTTCTCGATCCGACGGAATTCCAGCTTCGTCAACCTTCGATTTTCATGTAATTACAATTCTGGGACATTCCGCTTGGTGTCTAGTTTTATGGCTTGTTCTTGGAAGACAAAAATGCAAGGGAAAATTCAACGGTGTATGTAGACTAATGGTATTCGCCGTCATGAACGCTTGATCCGGGCAACTTACCAAATCTGTGATTTTCCGTTGAGCTGATGCGACATAAGCGCAAGCTCTAAAGGGCTTAGCAGACAGCTGAACAGTGGCTGCCTAATCCAAGAGAGTAAAATGACATGATGACAGTCACAGCCACCCCGACAAATCCTTCAGGCCGTTTCTTGTGTCATAAGCTTACGTCCTAATTCTTCATAAGAGTTCGGCGAGACGCTCACTGGAAAAGATCAGCCCTGCATCCCAACACCTCAATTATCACGAACATCCAAAACATTTGGCATATACTTTTTGTCTCATTCACTCCGAAAGTCAAGACTTTCCATCATCGAGAAGCCCGTCTCATGGTCCATTGGCCTGACCAATCAAGTACTTTGGACGTCGCTCTTCATTGTTGGCTGGCCTGAGCTATGCTTATATTGGTTGGCTCGCATTGGACCCCTGTCGCCCCGCAGACGCACCATGAAGGAACATCCGAATTATTATCTCCAGACGCCAGAATTCCTTCTTCTCCGCACACACGCCTGCCGTCGCCGATGTGTTTGTCGACATTCCACGGCTAGGTTAAGCTTCCCACACCCGCTCCGGGGTCATGAGAACCGCAGGTGGCTTGCCCCGTTATCGCTTCGACGGAGAGGCTGGCCAAGTGGGGTCGTGGCCTTAGGTACGCAGACGGCCTGAAGCAGAAACACGATGGCTCGAAAGGGCAGTCGGAAGACTAGAACTGGCTGCATAACATGCAAGTGAGTGTGCCTGAAAGTGTCCATTTCATCGGTCGGTACACAGTGAGAATTGAGAACTTGCCTTAGATGGTACCTCGTATCTAACTCTTCATGACCAAGTAGGATACGCAAAGTGAAGTGTGACGAGACCAAGCCGACCTGCAATCGCTGCGCAGCCACCGGCCGCCAGTGTGATGGCTACAGTCCGGCGCCCTCGCCAACAAACAAATCCCAACTCCGCCGCTACCGACCGCACCATGTCTTTCCGGGAGCAGACGGGGTCGGGGAGGGCAGAGCCTTGCAGTTTTTCTGCGAGGTAGCCGGTCCCTACATGTCGGGTGCCGTGGACCCTCATTTTTGGCCTAAACTGGTAATGCAGTTCACCAGCTTCGAGCCTGCCGCGCGCCACTCTGTCATTGCCATCAGTACCCTCTGTGAACGTCTACAATTCCAGGAGGACATGGATGAAGAGATCCTTTTGAAGGACGATCTTTACGCCTTGCAACATTATAACACAGCTATCCATGACCTCAGGACTATGACCTCCTCTGAGCGAAGTCCTGTCATACTGCTGGTGTGTCTGCTGTTTATCACTATTGAATTCCTACAAGTCAACCGTGAAGAGACGGTAAAGCACTTGAAGCACGGATTCCAGCTTCTGAAAAGCACAATCAGGGATTATGCCTGGACTAAGGAACACTTACTGCCTCTGTTTCGACGATTGAGCATCTACGCTTTCCTGCACGCGACCGATCCTAGAGACTTTCCCAATCTGGAAGGTCTCGAGCATCCGATTCCCAGCAGCTTTTCAACATTTTATGACGCCCAAAGAATGGTTGACGACATCTTCAGCCGTTCCATGCGGTTGGTGCGGAATGGCGACCCTTATAGAATATACCCGGAAGAACACCAAATTGTGCCGCCTGACCTACTCGATGAGCAAGCCAGCCTTGCGTCATCACTAGATCAGTGGAAGATACTATTCGATGCATTTGAAGCCCGGCCCGCATCACCACCGAGCGAGCCTGTTCCCGGGCAAGAGACTCTAACAACGGCGTTACGATACGTCATTGTGTCACGATATGAGTGTTGCAGAATATGGCTGAACACGGCGTTTGGTGACAAAGAATACGACTACGACAGTCACTTGGCTGTATTCAAAGCGATGTCCACAGAAGCAGGGATAGTAGATCCGGAGGTCCTTGCGACTTTTGAAGGGTCTCCTTATTTCACATTCGACACCGGCTACCTTCCTTCAATCTCACTAATTGCAACGAGATGTGCGCATTTGGAGGCGACATTGAAAAACCTTAGACTGAAGCCACTTCCAGGCCTCCCGAGAGAGAATATGTGCCTGCTAGCCCAGGCCGGAGATTGTCTGTGCGAAGCGTTACCAGCATCTTTACGGAACCTTAGTCGACTGGAGATTGCGGAGTCCAGTAATACTTGACTCTACTTAGAGAGTTCTACACATATATGAAAATGACCGTCTAGTAAAGCATCACGCTGTCCGCAATGTGCCTTTTTCCGGTTACTGCACTGGTGGATGTCCATCCAGGACCCACGAGTTGATTAGTGAGGCAGACTCGGCCGGCAGGTCGAATGGTGCTAAGTGACCAGAGTTGAATATCTCGGCATAGGTGAGCTCTTTGTAAGACTTCCACCTGCCAGCTACCTTAGCGTCATGGTACCAAAGAGTCATCTCTCGGAAGCGGAAGAAGGGGTGTCCATGCCATGCCAGTCCCTCGTTGACGAGCCGCCGCATTCCAGCTGCATTGCAGTATAAATCTTTGTCGCCCACGTATATGAGAACGCGAATCCCCTGTAAGAGTTGTTAGTAAGTTTCGATACAGGCCTTGTTCTGTCCTTGGGCTATTTACCTCATCAAGAAGCCTGTTGACGTACTCATCGCTGGACTTCCACAAGTCACCCACGCTCTCCCACTGCTTGAGTATTTCGTACGAGATTCCCTCAAATGAAGCATCTTCGTTGACTCCGAGGGCAACCTTTACCTTTGTTTGGTTTAAAAAGGCGTCAATGTGGCCTAGCTCGGCGTAGCATTCTTCCGAAGGACCATCACCACAACTTCGTCTCCAGTCATATGGGTTGCGCTTCAATTTGTCGACAACGTAGCCGCTCATGGAGGAACATTTCTCGTGTGTTTCGATACAAGCTCGGGATGTCCATCCTTCATCATCGCCTGTGCCTTCGCAGACCCCTAGATTCTGCTCGCACCAAAGATTGAGTGGGGCCCATTCGATGCACTGTGAGGTGCTTAGCAGACTATCAGGCCCGGAACAAAGCGCTTCGAAAGTCCCTGGATTCTGAATACGAAGTCGAATTAATCCGTTGCCAATGAGAATGCCCTTCAAGTTGATGAGCGGGACTCGCGAAGGTAGGTGGACCGGTGAATGATCTCCTGCCCAATGATGTTCGTTGTTTTGAACCGAGAACTCTGAAGCAGCAGAATGGAGGTCAACATTGGGGGAGTTTATGTCGTGGGAATTTGCCTGATTGTCAAGTATTGTGGAAGCCAAAGCCGGCACCCACGATCCACCATAGGACTCTCCAGCGATATAGAAATCAAGGCCTGAGTATTGAGGGAAGGCGATCATGAGTTGACGAAGGAATCGATCCATCGTTTGAGATGCTTCTTGCAGACCATTGGGTATCTTGGATCCCGTCGAATAGCCGACACTTACTGGCTGACTAGAGTTGAACCATGCAAATATCAGTCAAGCATCTTTGAGTGTAAAAACATGATTCCCAAGATCAAGATGGTATCCAAACGACAATACTCAACTCACTCGACAAAGATCAAGGTTGCATTCGTGTTCCAACCGTGCGGGTTATCGATGGTGTACCCGCCCTCAGGCGCGATGCGACAGGGTCCCAACTCCATCAGGTTGCCATAGCCAGTAGAAGACGCTCCTGGGCCACTGGAAATATCCGAAGACAAAGTTAGCAGGGAGATTGGTTTTGGCTCGAGACGGCTAGAAACACTGACCCAGACATCCATAATATTACGGGGTCATTAAAAGGACGATGCTTGCTTTCAAAAAGCCAGAAGAACAGATGACTCTCATCATCACCATCAGTTGTATCGACAAAGCCGGCGACGCCGGGAGTTGAGCTGTTGCATACACTAGCCGTGTCGGACCCGAGCCTGAGGGAGAATCCTGGGATATCGGCCGTGGCGGGGAAATGTTTTACGGGAGAGCCGGGCGATTGAGAGTGGGTTGGTGAAGCAAGGCTTTGGCTGACGAACGCCAGTAGCAATGATAGATGTTGGAGGCATGATACTGAGAATCTCAATCGGTGAGGCATTTTGACAGTATCGATGTTTGAGGCACTCAGATGCCATGAAGAAGTTGGATGAATCGCTCGATACCTTTCGACTGGTTTTCTGATGCAGCGCTTCTGATGACCCGAATAGGCATAGTGCGGGATTCCCGATCGAGTTGTCGGATCCCTAGCGATAAACACCTACTATCAGTGGACCCATGGCAGAGATGCTTCTAAAGCGCTTCTAAAGGTTAGACCTCTCCGATGCTCTAGTTGTTGTACTGAGTTATGCGTAAAGATGTAGAGGAATTAATCGAGAGGTCACGTATGTAAACTTCGAGGCCTTCCATTTGAGCAATGGGATCCGCTGGTCAACCAATTTCATCAGCTTCAAGGGTCACCACAACATTCAATGTCAAGGAAGGAGAAGAGAAAGCCCGTGTTAGGTCCTACAGAGATGTTTCGTAAAGGTCGTGTCTATCATCATTCACAAATTTCAAGCAGTGGCACCTGCAGCCTCGCCATCAACGATCAAGCTTGAGGCCTCCTCGTCATCGCTTGGCTTGACGAGCTTGATGGAAACCTCGGGGTCTCGAGCATAGACACGCAGGCCCAAGACACAGACAGCGTTCCATGGAGATCCAGTCAGCTCCTCTTCGTCATCCAAGACAGTGGATTCAGCATCAGAGTCTGAATCAGAAGCCTCTTCCTCCTCAGCAGGCGCTTCCTCGACAGGCGCCTCATCAGCGACGTCTTCGGCCTTAGCTTCAGCAATGGCAGTCTCCTCTGCTGGCTTCGACTCCTCAGACTTCTTCTCGCTCTCATCGCTTTCGGGTTTCTTCTCTTGAGTCTTTTTTTCCGTAGGCTCCTTTTCATCGTCCTTCTTTGGCTCCGGGGACGGGCCATCGCCAGGCTTTGACGTATTTACGTTTGCTGGCTTCTCTGCCTCCGTGGGCTGAGCTGACTCCTTGACCGCGATTTTGATTGCAATAGAATCGCCCTCCTTCTTTTGATCCTTGTCTTCGGACTTCTTCCCTTCCTTCCCAGTGACGCTGTCCTTCTTTTCCTCCGTCTTCTTGCCCTCGTTCGCGAGATCAGACACAACCTTGGCGGAATCCTCAAGTGCCTTAGCCGCAATACCGAGTGCTTTCTTCTGCTTTCTTCTCTTCTTTGCTTTCTTGCTCTCCTTCTTCTGCTTCGCTTCAAGCTTCTTCTTCTCTACGAGCTCGTCCTCGTTCCGAACACCACCCTTGGCGTGGGCGATATCGTACTGCAAGCCTACCTGTCGCAATTTCTGCGGGTTGCGTTCGGCATACTCCTTGACTACTTCCTCAACTGGCTTGATTGTGCTAACGTCGCCTTCGCTGTTGCGAACGGCTGTAATCTTAGGCAGAACCTCGTAGATGCCTGGCTCTAGGTCGACTTCGCAGCTCACCGAGCGATTCTCCCATTTGTGCACAGGCCGGACGCGGCAAATCTGCTCTGGCTCAGGGGCATCCGCCTTTTTCTTCTCTCCATCCTTGGACTCATCGCTGGCCGCAAAGGTTGTAGAAGCAGCTTGCTGAAGGACGAAGTGTAGTTCGAACCAGTACTGTCCCTCAAATCCGTGGAAGTAGCGGTCGTCGAGCTGCGTCAGGACAAATACGACCATGCCCGACTTCTTGACCTCCACAACGAACTTGGTCTGGAGGAAACCTGTCACCCAAGATACATTGGCGGAGGTCCACTGTTGCACGACGGTCCACTTGTCGTCAAACAGGCGCGTGCGGTGGATGTACATAAAGGTCGAGAGCATATCCTGGTACGACATCCAGAAGACGCCATCATCGCCAAAGGTGTGATTCATGCGCTTAAGCCAGTACGGAGTCCATTCTTTGGAGCCGTCGGACCACGGCCCGTTCCATTCGCCGACACCACCATCGGATCGTTCGCCCCAAGGGTTCCTGTTGGTTCAAGTGTCAGAGCAAGGCAAGATACTGAGACTCCAGGAACAAATCTTACCGGATCTGAACGAGGCGAACCTTCTTACCGTCCTCGTCAACCTCCTCTCGTGACTGAAGGATAGAGTATGCGTGCCCCAACGCCAGGCCGCTCTTCTGCCAGTCCCACCCAGTACCCATGGCAGCAAGGGCGAAGACAAACTCTCCGTCAGAGTTTACAAGCTCTTTCCATAACTTGTCCTTTCTCAACACGCGGTTAGTTGCGATTGTTGAGGTTACGCCACCTGTCATGTCCTCAACTCCCTCGCCGGGCCAGCCACCCGAGATGGCCTCATAGTCGCCATGAACCTTGGCGTATGCTTTCTCGAGAAGCGGCAACCACGTCTCATTCTGATCATCGCAGCGAGCAAAGTAGAGAGCATCAGAGCCCGTCTGGTGCCTCTTCCTATGTAGGCGGGCCTTCTTGCCACTAGCATCGTAGACGTCTCCATAGTAGTCAAAGTCTGACTCGTTGAGGTAGAGATTGTCGTCAATGACTGTCGAAATCCACTCGCCATCGCGCTGAAAGACAAAACCGTAGACGCCACACTCTTCGTCGCGAGCAACGCAGACTTTCTCCATGAGGTCTTTCCGGTGCGCAATGGTGGCAACCGCGGCGAGCCACCAGCAGTCACCGTTGGAACCTTGCTTGATATCGGAAGACGAGTAGCCGTTCATCGTGAATTGCGGCGAATCAAAGATCCAGTCAACGCGGTGGATTGAACCAGGGTTGTAGTACTCGCTTCCTCGGACGCCGTGACGCTTCGAGACTTTGCCATATCCCGACTTGGCTCCCTTACCGGCAGCTGCATTGGCAAAGGGATTCCAGATGTCACTGTCGCCCCCAAGAAAACGGCTCACCGCCGTGGGATCGATGGGGATCGTAGAGCTAGGACCCAAGATCTGCGCGGCGTTAAGTGTGTCGAGGCTGTTCTTCACATCCCAGCTGCTCACATACGGCACATCTCCCGCGGCGCCACTTCCGCCAGTACCCTGGTCCCCGTCACGGATAAGACCGTTAAGACAGTTCTTCTTAGGATCACGCTCAATGTCAAAGTCGGGGTCGGTGAACTTCTCATTCGTTCTTTCGCACTCTCGGATGATTCGCTTGACCTTCTCTCGGCACTCGCGAGCGGCCGCGTCATATGACTCCTGCGCATTGCGGGTGGAAGATGCTCCCTTCTCCTGGAACGCAGGGAGGAGGGATGTGTAGAGGGCGCGAGGGAAGATGGATGTCACCTTCCCCGGGTATTTTGAGTGAAATTTGTCCCAGAAGTCAGACAAGGTTTCCTGGGGACTCTTCTTCGAGCGCTTCGTTGCTGGAGGAATGGGAGGCACTGGTGGTGGTGGATCGCCGTACGTCGCCATATTGAGCAGCGTCGCTGACTTGGGGTGTCAGAGCAGGTTAAATGACTAAATTGGTGCCTTACTTGTGTCGGGTCCCCTGGAGACAGGAAGCGAATGACTGACTTGAACAATAGAATGGAGTTCATTTCGGCCATACTGCTGGACTTAAGTAGTCGTCGCAGTCTGACGAAGATATCATTCACGCCTTGAAGGGTGGTGTGACAAGGCCTTGGTAAGGCTACGACCTACCTACTTGACCCGGCATCTAGTGCTGACGCACCAGCGATAGTTCCCGTGTACAACCGCGCATATGGGTGTTTGGGTGTGAGGCTGCCTAGAATCACGTTACTTGGATGTGACAATATTGAAATGCGAAACGAAACTGAACCAATTGTATGGGATCGTTGGTATGAAGGCGCCCTGGGTATCGGAACGGTCGGCTTGCTTGGCCGCATTCTGCAGAATATCGAACCGAACTTGCTCTGATATGCAGCGAATCGCCAGGGTTGAATCTGGCAATTCGTACTACAAGTACCAACAGCACGCAGATTGGGGGCCATGCTGCCGCCGGGCTTCAGGGCCTAGTATCAGGTAGGATCATGGCGCCAATGACTTTAGCGCCGCGAGGTTGGGCTATGACAGCGAAGCATACGGCTGATCCCCAGGGTCCCTTTCTCGGCCACGCACGCCAGATAACATGAGGAAAGGCTTGCTGTCTCATTCTAGCGAGGTAACTGTGAAAACCATAACCCCGCGCGATGAACTGGCAACTCTCACGTAAGACTTGGAACGCCATGCATGCATGAGATGCAGGCCGCTGTTAGTGCGTGTCGCTTCCCCAAGCCTTTACGACCAACTCATTTTGGACTGGAGTAACCCAAACAGGGGTTCTGGGCAGACGGGAAGATGAAGCTGAAATTTGGACTGCAGTCACAGGAATGATAGGCTCACTGCTGATAATTCTCATAGGGTGTCATACTTGGCCAGACCTAAAGAAGTATTCAAGGTGATCGAGATGTCACGTTGAATGATTGATCACATATATGCACACATCACAGGAGAGGAAACTGAGTACATTAGACAGAAGCATCATCGAGTCCCAAATCAACTTAAGACCTGAGACCGATAATTGGTGCATTGGCTGCTATACACGACAGGGAATCCGTTCTTCATCCATAGCGACACCGATGAAGAGCAACTCTGATGCTTATTCTTCAAGAATGTCCTTCTCCAAATCATTCATAAATTAGTAGTGATTGACCGCCCCTCTATCTTTTTGCAATGTCAGTGTCTTCGTCTAATTTGATGCATATCCAGGCTACTCATGGCGTGGAATAGATGTACACAGCCATGGTGACCAATATCGCGAATGACGCTCGAAGGGCCTGCCTTTGCCATCGGTCGTAAAGCTCATTGTATATCATACCTCAAAACTCGTACAAGCTTTAAGTCTCGTCCGGCACAGATTATATTGAATACTGGGCTCTGAAAGGCTAGGCAGGTATTTGATAATTGTCTTTCATTAGAAGTTAAATATGTTGGCATCCGTAAAGCTCTTTTGGAAGCTTTGGTATATGCTCATGCTCTTGCTACGAGGTCTATGGCCGACTCATTTCCTTCGTCATGCCGCTCGATTAGGTGGATATGGTCAGACTCAATGCTGAGTTAGCAAGAGCTACTTGCCTTACAAAGCAAGCACCTTCTGCCACAGGGTTGTGGCCTCCGGTTGAGCAATCGCTGTCTCTCCAGCTCCTCTATGATTCGGTATGTCGACAACCTCGCCATCCAGACCCTTGTTGTTGGCGGCGTTCTGCTGCTTGCCCAGATAGTAGTTTGGCATAAAGAAAGAAGCAATAAGAGAAATACAGGACAAGCAGATGGCGGCGATCGTGATATGCCCATTTACAATAGCGTAGGCGCGGATAGATCCTTGGCGAATGGGATCATCGAACTGGTACTTCTTCAACGTCTTGATATTGCCGTAAATCTTGGCGATGACACTGTTGGAAACGCCGGGAAGTTCTTCACGCATCTGGTCAACCATCTGCTCCGTCCAGATGCTCGTTGCAACGGCGCTTCCGATACTGGATCCCAAGGTAGACCACAGAGTGATGATGGAAATGATCGAAGCAACGTCGTCGTGGGGAACAGACGCCTGTACACCGACACGCGCACCAACTACGTTGAGGGAAGATAGACAGAAGATGAGCTGCGCTGCTACGAGCCGAGCAGTATCTTGAGTCATGTTGCCGGTCGGTTGGACCAGGAGGCCGTAACCGAGAATCTTGGCCGCGGCACCGAAGACCATAAGGCTCTTGTAGCGATGAGTGCTTCGGTGAATGAGACCAACCACAGGGCCGACCAGGCAGAGCCCCATTGTAGTTATGCCCAAGAAGATAGTCCACTGGTAAGTAGTCCACTCTTTGATGATGAGGATGTATGATGAGAAGTAGGTATTGCGAACGGACGATGCCATTTGATTGAAGGTGTGGATGATGACACCTGCGATGAAGGCGCGGTTCTGTAAAATGCTCCTCGTCATGAGAGGCTTAGGAGCGAGAAATATCTCGAACAGGACGAAGATTATGAGAATGACGAAACCCATGACGATCATAGCGATCATGCTTGCGTTGGTCCATCCACCATCGGCGCTCTTAGCCAGTGTGATAGGCAAGAGAATCAGGGAGAAGGCAAAGCCAAGCAGGATGAGGCCAATGATGTCGATATCGATCATGCCCCGGTACGCAAGTTTGGCCCAGTACACCAAGTTCTTAGAGGAGGCCTCAGAGACACCGGTGCGAACGTTCTTGGAGTCGGCAATGGTTACCATGCCAGCCTTCTCTCCTCGACGCTGCATGGCGTAGAGAGTAAAGATGGCCGGGATGAGGAGAACAGGGACGAGTATGGCGAACATGCCTAAGCCCCATCGCCAATTCTCGTAGAAGCCTTCAGCGATGAAACCGTTGACGGGGACAGTGACGATAAAAGGCAGGGACAGGCAAGCACCGAAGAAGCCGCGCCATTCCAGGGGTGTTAAATCGGCCACAATGATGTCGCTCAGAAGATCGAGACCTGACTTGCCGACTGAAGTAAAGCAGATACCGACGGTATAGGCGGGGAAGGCGGTGGCACTGGCTGCAACGGCAAAGCCTACGGCGTAAAACGCTAGAATCACGACGTACGTCGTAGGTCGCGAGGTGATGTCGGCTAGTTTTCCGATGAAAGGCTTGCTGATGGCGCGGATAATCTGACTGGCAGTGTTGACGGTACCAAGTTGGCTGTGGACCTTGAACGTTGAAGCAGCCAGCGTGCCAAAGATGGTTGTGGTGATACCCATATCGAGGGCATAGGCAAACATGGTCAGGCCGATGGATACGCCGAGCAGCCAGAGTAGCACCTTGCCCTTCTGACCAGAATGGTAGAGTACCTTGTTGAAGGCTTCAACTCTGCTGACGCCGACTTCCTTTGATCCTTCATTATCAGCAGATTGGCCAGGCTTCTCATCCGGCTCGAAGAAGTCCTGAGGTGCATCGTTCTTGGCGGGAGCCTCTTCGGGAGCCACTGGCTGGCTGTCGGCCGCAGGTGTCGACATATTTGGCGACTTCTCAAGCTGCCTGGGTTTTCGAGAGATTTCAAGATGAAGTTGATGCTGCACAGACACAGACAGAGAGCGACATGAAGAAGGGTAGAAGAAGTTTATTAAAGCCTCATGGAGAGATAGACAGCGAAAACTTTACGGTCTTGGCAGCGGTCCAGTGCCACCTCATAATCCTTCCACTGGGATCTAGCGAAGTGTTAGGGAATGATCACCCCACATTACAAACATAGGCAACCAGAAGTGACCAACGATATGGTTCTGCTGCATGACATAAAGATCAGTCTCCGAGTCTCTTTCGGTACGTTCCGACATCGGTTCACCCAGTGCCCCGGACATGCGGGTGAGACAGCTAAGTTCAATGTTGAATGGCACGCGGCACGGGGTCAGAAAAATTGGCCGCTCTACTGAACATCGAGCCTAAGAAAAGTGGCCAATTCTTCTGGCAACCGCGTGAATGGATGGCTCGTTGTGTTTATCAGATCCTTTCTGGATCCACTATTGGGGAAACATGCCATCTAATCAGATGGCCCATATCTCTCGATTGGGGAGGGATCACCACTTTGGTGGGACTAGACTCCGACTAAAGCCAGGATAGATTCCTTCATGCGCAAAGTATACAGTGTCTTTAGACTGTACGCAGAGACGCGCCACTGAGGACCTTCTTTTAAATAGCTTTGTCATTTGGCTCCGATCCTAGACCAATATTTCGAGAATGAGGAACCATCTCCGGGTTATGGAAGCGGGACGGGTCGTCAAAGTGAAAGAGCAAAGATTTTCTTCGACACATCAGCCCACGGATCATGTAGCCACCTAGATAGTGCTTACTTTTTAGCCTGAAATAAGCTTACTCGAGTGGCTATTGCTACTCGTTCGAGTCGAAAGATGGGTACAGGATCCCTGTTCCTGACAATAATCCCGCAGATTCGGCCTCGGACTTTGCCCGGAAGGGCTTGGCTCCTGGTTCATCGCCAACTTGTCGGTTTATATGGTCACTTTCATCGGACGACCTATCGCGAGAACTGTTCATCATGCTATTCTCTTGATCAAGTCTTTCGAAAATGCATCACAGTGAAGAAAATTGCTCAACGAGGACTCTATAGGCAAATCGGCTTCGAAGTCTTGGATCCATTACCGCTATCACTACAATGCCATGTTGTCTCAAAGTTCGGTCTTCAAATAATGGATTCAGACCTCCTATACGATTGGCAACTGAGGCCACTGCATCATAGCTGCGAATCATAATTCAGCAAATTGAGTGAGTCCTGGGAGGAGAAGGAAGAAAATGTATAAAATAGAGAACACTCATGTCTAGTTATGTTGGAATCAAATATCTTCATAGACTTCTGACCGCCCTTAGCCTATTTTGTCTCGCCAATTGCGTGAGCTCTATCGTAGGGGCGTAGAGATCGAAGATGTGCGGCAG